TCACCGCTGGACACCACTTAAATGAAGTATATATATAATATCACACCACTGGACACCAATATAATGTATATATAACACAACCGGTGACGCGAGGCTGGAGGCTTATTGATATTATGTCTGGGCAGGATGGATCTTCCCCAAAGATTTTCTTTTCTTCAAAAATCCCATCCTTGTGCCTCCAATATAATAGCGAGTCGATGATGTATATGTGATATAGCGAAGAGAATACTGCTTGTCTTTAATCTTCCCTTCTGAATTAAAGCTGCCACCAACCTAAGTAGTTTTAGGATTTTTAAAACGAATATTTGAGGTAAACCTTTCCCACTCCTGCCAACACTGCTTTTTCCCCTGGCTCCCAAAATAACTGTGGGTTAAGAGGCTTTTCTGTAGTATCAGGATATTCAAAATGCTGGAACTATCGTAAAGGCTTGATGATAAAATGATGCACAGTAGAGATCTTTTGGGAGTTAAATAGAACAAGATTTATTTCTAAAAACAGACAACTAACTACTCCTGAGAGGTACAAAAATCGTGACTTGTTACAAAAGTACTTCAGCTTGATGGTTGCTTGAATAGTTCTCTTCACTTAGTTACAAACAGAGCTAACCAAACAGATCTTCCTGTTGGTAACAAAAACCCTCACTCTACTTCAGAGAAATAGTAATGAGCTCTGACTAACCTATCCTAGGTAGTCCCTCTACCCTAGAGTTCTTCCTGCTAACTAACCCAGCCTAGAGAGCTAATCTCTTGTACTAACTCCCACAAGAAATCAGACTGCTGTCTGACCTTTTCCCTGTCAGCACACAGCACAGTCTGACACAGGCACTCTCTCCCTGAAAACCCGGTTTCAAAAGCCCTTCTTCACACACCAGCTCCCAGTTCTCAACTTTCTCTGAAGCTGAAATCTTTTCCCTCCTAAGACTTGGCTCCTCCCAACTGCTCTAGCCAATCCTAGGAGACTCCAAACTCCTCCCCTCTTCTAACTCTCGTCACTCAAGATGGCTGCTTCCCTGGCATACACTCCCAAAATGGAGGTTCGCCCTATTGTTATCCAGACTTCCTTTCCAGCCTACTAGGTAAGATTCACTACAGGAGGCTTCCCACCGGAGTGGAAATCATCAATCAGACAGATGGCAAGCTACTGGACCTCAGCAGACTGACAGCCCAAACCAATAATAATAATAATAATAATAATAATAATAATAATAATAACAACAACAACTTTATTTTTATACCCCGCCACCATCTCCCCGAAGGGACTCGAGTGGCTTACAAGGGGAAAAGCCCACATTACAAATAAAAACAGCATTAAAATAAATCAAATAAAAACATAACACAATCACAAGACATCATCTTAAGACAATAAGGTTGAGATAAAAGTCAAAGCTGGAATCCAAGGTCACAACAACGTCTGTTATAGAACTCCAATATGCTGATGATAACGTAGTCTGTGCGCATTCGGAAGAAGACCTACAAGCCACTCATGGGCCATCCAGTCCAACCCCCTGCCAAGAAGCAGGAATATTGCATTCAAATCACCCCTGACAGATGGCCATCCAGCCTCTGTTTAAAAGCTTCCAAAGAAGGAGCCTCCACCACACTCCGGGGCAGGGAGTTCCACTGCTGAACGGTTCTCACAGTCAGGAAGTTCTTCCTCATGAATATCGAGAAAATTAAAATGTGTTGTCAAAGTCTTTCATGGCTGCAATCACTGGATTGCTATGAGTTTTCCGGGCTGTATGGCCATGTTCCAGTGCTCTTTCAGCAAAAGGCACCAGCCAATCCCTCTGCAATGCCAGAAGTACAGCTGAATGGTGTAACATTAGAGAATGTTGACCATGTCCGCTCCCTTGGCAGCCACCTCTCCACCAAAGTCAACATCGACACTGAAATATAGCACCGCCTGAGCTCTGCGAGTGCAGCATTTTTCCAAATGAAGCAGAGAGTGTTTGAGGATCGGGACATTTGTAGGGAAACCAATGTGATGGTCTATAAAGCCATTGTCCTGCCAATCCTGTTTTATGCCTGCGAGACGTGGACTGTCTACAGATGTCACTCTTGACTTCTGGAATGATTCCATCAGCATTGCCTCCAAAGAATCCTGCAGATCTCTTGGGAAGACAGGCGGACAAATGTCAGAAGCTGGAAGAAGAAGCAGAGACAGTCAGCATCGAAGCGATGGCCCTCCACCATCAACTCCGCTGGACTGAAGGCCATGTTGTCCAAATGTCCAAAGATCACCATCTCTCAAACCAGTGACTCTACTCTCAACTCAAGAATGGGAAATAGAATGTTGGTGACAAGCATC